TTTACTTTCCCTCTCCCACGAATGACAATGACACGGAGTTGTCTGTTGCTGACGAGCGCAATATAGTCGATGGCCTGCTGTGGTCCGACCCCGATGATGATGTCTACGGCTTCCAAGTCAATCACAGGGGATGTGGGTTCATCTTTGGGCCTGATGTCACAAGGGCGTTTCTCGACCGCAACTACGGCTATTCCTTCAATTCCAGGCTGCCGGGTCAGAGGAGAGAGGAAATGCAGTTTATTGTTCGGGCCCATCAGTGTGTTGAGGATGGCTATCATTGGGCCCACGGGGGTCTTGTGCTCACCCTCTTTTCCGCCCCCAATTACTGTGGCATGAATAACAAGGGGGCTTTTGCCGTGCTACGCGGTCGAGCAAATGTGGGAGAAGACCGCGTCTTGTTTGAATACAAGGTCTACGACATTGCCCCGAGGTCGCCCAACGAAATGGGAACCAGACTGCACGCTTCATGTGATGCGGCTGCTAATGCAGCGCGGCGGGTAAACGGATCGCTGCAGGGGGGCTACTTTGACGATAGTGAATAGGAACGAAACGTTGACCATTTTTTTTTTTCTTTCATTTTTAGTATTTGCGGCTGCTCTCATTGGGAGAAAAACAAAAAGGTGGAAACAAACAAACAAAAAAAAAAATAGGGATAACGACGTACGGCTGGACTTTAAAAAGGCCGGAACAATTAAGAACAGGGGACAAGAGAAGGCTAAAAGAAGAAGAAAAAAGGCGAATTGAAGAAACAGAGAGAAAGAGAGGAACAAAAACTTTTTCCCACCGCCCGTCACGGTCAAGAAAACAAAAAGTTAGGTCGAGTAAAAAAAAAAAAAAATATATATATATACATATGCATACACGTATGCACATATGTAATATGAATGAATGTATAGGTGGTGCCCAGCATTTTCAATTATGGATTTTTGTACACTAGTTTTTTTTTATTCTGGGATACTCCCTAATCGGGCTTCAGCTGTGACTGTTCACTTCTTTACTGGTTACACACTAGCGTGCAAATACTGGCCAATTTTCTTTGGCTTTTTGATCTCTCATTTTTCTTTGACCAACGGAGTGCGCAGACATGAATATGCGTAGGTACATGCATACAAGTATCTTTATACAACAATTTATGCGTGAAGATAAATGAAATACATATATTATATTATATTATATACATATGTCTTGCTGCCTCCTTCCTTTTTACCGGTGTTTGTAATATCAGAACTGTGTATTTGCTTGTTATTTTGTTTATTGTTTGTTTGTTTGTTTGATTTTTGTGCGTATCTTCTATTTTAGTTGTTTGTAGCTTGTGTCGTTTATGACCTCTTTTTTTTTTTTTTTTCTTTTCTTTTCTTTTCTTTTCCACTTTGCGTTGGGTATTATACTCCCGCTGTTGTAATCGTCTTGCTGGTGCGATGATGATGATGAGGAGGAGTGGGTGGGTGGGTGGGGGCTGGGAGAAACACACACGGCACAGGGGCGTACATAAAAAAAGAAAAACAAAACAGAAAGGAGGACCGCTTTGGGTCGTTACGTCCATTTTTGTTTATTACTATTTTTGGTTGCCCTCATATATTTATTTATATATTTTTTTTTTTTACGCGCGCCCTCCGGTTCTTTTCTTTTTTTTTTTTTTTTTTTTTCTTTTTTTCTTCTTTTCTTTTCTGTATGTGTGCGTCTCTCTCTCTCTCTCTCTCTCTCTCTCTCGCACACCCACCCACTTCACGCAAATTATAAACTCCTTTACTAAATTGTCCGAATTATGTTCGTCCAAAGAGGAGGCGATAAAAAATAATTATTGAGAAAACAACAACAACAACAACAAAAAGACAGTCTCGCTCTCTTTTTTTTGAATTAACCAGACATTCCAACAGATGCTTGAAGGGAGCGTGTATTTACATACATTTACATACGATTCACAAGGACGAAGAAATGGAACATGGGGGAGCTATATGTTTTTCTTTATGGTTACTACTCTTACTCTAACAGTGCCCAAGCGTTTTTTTTTTTTCTTTTTTGATTTGTAGTGGTGATGGCGGTGGTGGTGGTGTCGGAATGAATTTCTTTTCTTTTTTTTTTTTTTTTTTTGTTTCCTATTTGCGTGGTGCTGCTGTTTTTTTTTTTTTTTTTTTTTTTTAGTTTTTTTTCAATTTTTTTTCTTTTTGCATCCCATAAATAATAATAATAATAAAAGAAAATAATTCCCTCTTGCTTGCGTTTATTCCCTGTAGTTGTGGATGAAGTTCAAAGTTTGATGTGGGCGACTGGGCATGCATGTGGCGTGCTCATTTATTTATTCCTGCATGTCTACTTGTGGGCTTTTGGCTTTTTGTCTGTTGTCTCTTTGGTGCGGCTTTTATATTATTATTATTATTATTTATTTATTTATTTTCACTGGTGTGTTTTTGCCTTCTTTTTGATTTTTTGCCTTTTGCACAGTGAGGTTCTCCTCTGATACTCCGCGTCTGCACGACACAACACCACCAAGAAAGAAACACACACAAAAAAGGAAAAATGGTTGCTGCTCGCACGAAGGCCAACTCCAAGATCCGCCGTATCGGCAAGAAGAAGGGTGCGACCATGAAGGACGTCCACCCGTGGCGCTGGGTCAAGCTCTGCAGTCAGCACTTCAAGCAGGAGGGCAAGCTCATGGTGCCGAACTGCACAGAAATTGTAAAATCATCCCACGGCCGCGAGCGCGCCCCGCAGAACCCGGACTGGTACTACATTCGTTGCGCCGCCATCCTTCGTGCTGTGTACATGCGCCCCGGTGTTGGCTACGGCGGCCTGAGCAAACGCTTTTCAAACAAGAAGAACCGCGGCAGCCGCCCCGAGATTACCGTACGTGCGTCCAAGGGACTTTTGCACTGGGGTTGCAAGAGCCTCACGAAGCTTGGTCTCATTGAGAAGTGCGAGAGTTCGGGCCACCGCATCACGAAGAATGGCCGCAAGCTCGCTGACGCGATCGCCTTCAAGGTCGCCATTCGCAAGCTTAACACTGCCACCAGCAAAAACTGATTTGAGTGTCTTCGTCCGTCAACCAAAGCGGGATAAGAGAGATCTGAACAAATTTATTTAAATAACACTTTTTTTTTGTTTATTTTTTTCTTTTTTACTCTCAAAATTGACTTGCGTGCGGGTGCACGACTTTGAGGAAGATGGGACTGCGGCGTGCGTGAGAGATGGGCGCAGTGAATACATTTTGGGAGCGTGTCGCACTGGTCTGTTTGTTGTCCTTTTTTTTTTGTTTCTTTTTTTACTTCTGGCCGCTGCGGGGACGTAACGCTGTTGTTTATGCGTCAAGAGGGACGGGGAGGCACGTACTGGAACGTTACTTCGCCTCCGCACTCAAATACACACAATTATAACATATTTTTGTAACCGAATTCATCAGGGGCACACACACAAAAAAAAAAAAAAAAAAGGAAGGAAGTCGACGATGGAATTTGATCTTTCACACTTCCTGAAGGGAATTCAGCTTCAGCACGGTCTGCGCGGAGAGGACTACGCACGTTACCGCCGCTACACGACAAACCGACTTTCGACATTGCGTCACCAACTTGGTCTTCTCCATGACCCTAAAAGGTTTAAGCAGAAGGAAATCACGCCACAGAACGCAACACGGCCGGAGCATCTTCAGTTACTTGTTCTTTACGCCGAACGCTGTTGGGCGGCAGCGGAGGAAATGCAGGAAAAGCGTCGTAATGTGGGAGGCGGCGGTGAGAATAAGCCGCCCGGTGGTATTCCACCGAGTGATCAATTTCGGAAAAGACTTAATAAATCTGTCAAGTGGGCCTCAAAGCTGCACGAAGTTGCACGAATTGTGGCGCGCCCGCGGCTGAAGCAAGAGGCAGAAGCATATGCTTTGGAAGTGAAGGGTCGTGCTGCAGCTGCACATGGTGCAATGGTGGAAGCAAAAAAGTTTTTTTCTATGGCTCGTGAACACTATTATGCATTGCGTAAGAGCAGCACGCCTGAGCAGTGGATGCTTCTTCTTACCAAAGTAAATGAGCTGGATGATCGCGTGGTGTATTGTATGCTGCGTCTGGGTGAAGATGCTTCCAAATACAAGCCTCACGTCGATCTTGAGGATACGACGGAGCGGTTGGCTGCCACAACGATTGAATGGAATGGACGCCAATTAAATGTCGCTTCTATCAAGGTGAAGGACGCACTACGTGAGGTACGAACTCTTAATGTCGAGTCGGTAAAGACGAAGGCACTGGAGTTGGGTGGTCCCATTCCTTTGGGACAACAGAACAAAGTGCTGGATCTGATGGATCGACGTATTGGCTGCCTTAATGATGCATTAGCCCATGCACGCCAAGACCTACGTACACTGTCGGATGATAGACAGAAGACTGAGCTGCAACTCCTTGTGCATTACCTGCTTTTCCATGTATCTCAGGAGACGTTGCACCGCACCCTCTTTATGGTGGAAGTCTACATCCGTCGTTTCTGTGCCACCGAAAAATCTCTTTCGGGGGGAAGCAGTAGCAGCAGTGGCAACAATAAAATCAACACCCACATTTATAGCTCTGGTTTTAAGAACAAGAAGGAGATAACTCCCTCGCAGTACGCTTCACCGCTGGAGATTGTTCGATTGTACGATACTGCGCTGGAGACTCTGGGTGAGATGGAGCTGCTGCCGGGTGTTGCAGGTCGTGCGGACTTGGAGGAGCTGACTGCGCTCTGTCGCGCTGGAAAGCTGCTTTACTTGGGAGAGGGCTGGCGCATCTCACGGGAACCGACGCGTGCACAAAACTGCTACAAAGCCTCCCTCTCCACCCTTGAAGGGGTGCCATCGACACCGCGGGTGGAGAAGCTTCGTCTGGTGGTGGAGAAACGCTCTTTGCAGTTGGCGTCGTCGACACTTCTCACCACCTTACAATCCGGTGTGGCCGCTAGGAGGGCTGAGGAAGAGAAGGAGAAGTCGACGCAGTACCTTGTCGACGCCGGCGATCAAGTGGCTGTCGCCCAGAACATCATTAAATTCCCACCAGACTATCAAGCCGTGCCTTGTAAACCCGTATTTGTGGATATTGCGCTGACGTACGTCGAATATCCGACCCATGACATTTCCTCCCGTACGAAGCCACGGGACGAGCAACCGAAACACTCTGACTCCGCCGGAGCGAAGGAAGAGAAGCGCTGGAAGTGGGGCTGGGGATGGCGCAAGTGACTTCTCAATGCGGGGCGGAACGCGGCTGGTAGGGGGAGGAATGAAGAGAATCAACGAAAAGAAGTGTTTGTGAGGGCCGGAGAACACCGCACCAATTTTTAATGGGCTTGTTAGTGTTTGGGTGTATTTTTGTGTCGCCGGCATCTTCTTTGCAGGAACGGACAGCAGCAGCAGCATGTAGGTTGAGGGGGACAGAAGAGGGGAAGAAGCATAAACAGTCTGCGACTTTCAGAAACGAAATACAACAAAATGAAATACGGGAAAGGGAAAGAAAACATTGGGTGGGTGTGAAGAATTTAGATTTTTCCGTTTCCCTTTTGATTCCCCTATTACATTGTTTGGGGGAAGAAGGTCTTTTACCTCTTTTTCTATTTCCTTTGGTTTATCTGCTGCCGCAATGACGCCGTTATTATTATGGTTATTATTATTTCCTTTCCTTATTTTGAGCTGCATCAATTCACTGCAACATCCCATTTTCCCAGCCACAGCAGTATCAGCGAACAAGGAATGTTTGCTTGAAAAGTGACTTTCTATCCTTGCACACTTCTCATTGGGACAAGTAGAGAAGCTTAGAGACGTTTCCTTTTTCTTTTTTAAGAAGCTGGAGGGGAAAAATAGGTGAAAAGGAGAACCCCAACGGCAGAAGCGGAATGAATGGTGATGGTGATACAGTACTCTGTCATGTGACGTGTGGCAAGTCGGTTGGGATGGATGTGAAGGAAGAAAAGGGAGCCAGGGGGTATGAATTGGGGTGGGCGTATTCGCCGCCTCCCGACAATCAGCGTGAATTTGAGTTTCCCGAAGATGGACTTTTGTTTTCTTCTCGATTTGACAGTGGCAACCTTATTCAAGTGGAACGTATCGGTGCGTATCGGTACAATATGTACACCTCGCCTGACTGCGGCAACTCGCCAAAACAAACGAATAACAGGCAGTGGTTTCACTTTGCTATTCGAGGGGGGTGCCGTGGATGCGTCATCACCTTCACATTTGTGGGCATGATGCACAGCAAGATGTTTACGTATGGATGGACGCCTGTGATAGCGGTGTGCCCGGGAAAACCACAGTACACACGATTACCCGGTAAAGCGACAGTGGTTTCGTTGGACGCGATGCCGCCGACGCCGGGTTACCCCGGCTTTGTCCTAAAGCCCTGGTCAAAGAAGGCATCGGAGACAGAAATTGCTGCAGATGGTGGGAATGAAAATGCGGATGCGAACGGCAGCTCCGAAGGAGTCCCTGATGTCATAGAAGTAGCCATGAATACCAACAGGAAAAAAAAGAAAGAAAATGCTGTTGCAATGAATCTGACGTTTGAAGTACGGCTAGAAATTGATGCCCCTCTCACATCATCTCTGTATCCCCTTGGACACCCACAATGCCCAGCAACGTACATCGCCAGCAACCATCCCTACTCCTACTCAACTCTGCAACAAAATATAAAAATGTGGAAACAACAGACCGTTGGGGGAGAGAAAGTTGGAACCGTAGAGGAGTCAAAGGATAATGATTTTTCCCAGTCGTGTCTTTCATCGATTTACTTTCATCATGAGATTCTTTGTAAATCACTGGATGGAAGAAATGTGGATCTTCTCACCATTACAGATAGATCTGGTATCTGTAATGAACGCTTTCCTTTATGTGGTGAGGGCGATATGCCGTACTCTTCTGCAAGGGGCGAAACAGAACGACCTCATCAGTTTATTGGAAAACAATGTGTTGTTCTTACGGCTCGAGTACATCCAGGCGAATGCCCATCAAGCCACTTAATGCATGGTTGTATAGAATTTTTGCTTAATCAAGCAGATCCACGCGCTGCTGCTCTGCGTTCACGCTTCGTATTTTTTCTTGTACCAATGATTAACCCGGATGGGGTTGCCAGAGGACATAGTCGCGCGGATACCGAAGGTGCTAATCTTAATCGTATGTACAAAAATCCCTGCAAAAGACGCCATCCTGCGCCCTATTCTATATTAAGCATGTTACGCTCCGTTACGTCCGTGAAAGGGAGGTTGGCTCTTTTTATTGATATGCATGCTCACGCAAATAAGAGAGGGGTGTTCTTCTATGGAAATTCTATGAATGCACCGGAATTACTTCAAAGTCTCTTGTATGCGAAGTTGGTATCTATGAACACTCCATACTTTGAGTTTCAATCGTCCAATTTCTCGGAGGCTAACATGTTTGCCACCGGAAAAACAGGGGAAGGTCGCGACACCTCCAGCCGGGTGACACTGTACCAAGAAACCGGTTTGGTTCATAGCTATACCATTGAAGCCTCTTATGTGATAGGGAACACGCTGAATCCAATTGTAGGCCTTTCAAGTTGCGGAGTAGATGAGCCGGAGGTGATTCAAGGGACATTTTGTCCCAAATACTCCCAGGCCGTGTTTGCGGATATTGGAAAAGGTCTATTGGTGGCTTTACTTGACCTTAAGGGGTGTAATCCCATAAGCCGTCTTTCAAACACACAGTTTCACAGCGTGAAGGGGCTGCTTGCTGCACTGCAACGGCAATTTCAGATTGAAATTGCAGAACGGTTGTTTAAAATAGCGTTCATGAGTGGAGGACAAGCAGCCATTGCCCGCGACCCAGGTGCGGATCCCGTGTATACCGTGATGTCGGTTTTGAGGTCCGACGATATTCCAGACGCAATGACAATAAAGGATGGAAGAGGACTTCCAGTGACAACAATTCGAGGACTTTTGGAGTTTGTACCGCTTGAGCAAGCCATCCAAATTTTGGCGCACGCGCCCCCAATGTTTCCGCCCCGCACGCTTCTGTACGGTGCAGGGAGAAGAATGATGAATCAAGTCGGTGGAGGGTTTGCTGGACGACGCTCCATGAGCAACGCTGGTCTTGGTGTCACAGCGGTCCCTGCAGTTTCCACGACTGGGCGAAAGTCCATCACGGGCTCGAATTGAAACAAATTACCGGCAACATCGTGTTTTTCTTCTTTCTTTCTTTTTTCCTTTTGACGGCGATGATAGAAATCTCGAATAAGAGCGGCGTGGGGTGTGGTAGAGCGGAGCGAAGAGGCATAAAGGAATGGAGGCAGCCCGAAAAAGAAAAAAAGAAGGAAAAAGGGAAAAGGGATGTGGGTGGAAGTGAAGGATGGAAGGAGTACACACACGGAATGGCGGCGCTTTAGAGGCGGATGAGCGGCAGATACCCAAACAAGAGAAACAACAGTAATAATAATAATAACTGGAAGAAAAAAAAAAGAGAGAGAGAGAGAGGAAGAGAGGGACGAAAAGGGAAGAAAGAGACGCAATGAGGATGAAGCGAGATGGAAGGGATACGCGAGAGATGATTTCTCCTCTTGTTTGTGTGGTTGGATGCTTCAGTAAATGAACTGCTTAACGAGTGAAAAGAGAAATTGGAGGTGCGGGCTTTGGTTTGATCGCTGTCGTTAAACAAGAGCGAAAGGCAAGTGAAAAAAGAAAAAAAAAAAGAAAGGGGAATGAGCAGCAGGCAAGGCATAAGGTGAGGTATAACTGGTGGGAGGGACTGCGTGCACTCGTTTCAACTTTTTATTTTGTTTTTAACCACACCGTTCGATTTTCCTTTTTTTTTTTTTTGTTGTTCCTCTGTTTTCAGTGGTTCAACGACAACCTTGACGCCGCCGGTTGAAGTGGCCTGTCATCGTCATTGCTTTTGTGTCAATCTGATTTCTCGGTTTGTAGGGCTGGATTTCTCACCCGATGCTCCGTTGTTGCTGAGTTTTGGAGAGCAAATTGAGAACGATAAATTTTGGTAGTACAATCGTTGTGTTGAACTGAAATCTTTACAGGTGTGTGTGTCTGTATATATATATATATATATATATATATGTATGCCGCTTGTGCATACGGTCACACCATTTGCCGTGGATGTGTTTGTTGTGGTGACAAATACGGGGATTAGGACGGACGGATTGTTTTTTTGGATCCTCATAATTAAATGGAGGAATCTGACGCTTGAAACCCCGTTTGCTTCTTTTGTGTTTTGGTTGAAACTGAGTATTTATATTTATTTATGTATATGAAAAGGAGATGAGGGCGATATGAATGGAAAATGGATGACATTTGCTTTTTCACCGTTTTTTTTTTTTTCCTTCCCTTTTGGGCGATTTTGTTTTCTTCCACGCAAGGGAGAAAAAACAAAATGCTTTGCGTTTCTTGATGAATGCGACGTTTCTGCTGTACGCATTGGATATATATATATATATAATCTGTTTGTGCGTACATGCATGCATGTATGTACGTATGTATTTTTCACTGGGAGGGCACCTGCAGATGCTCTTGTTGCTACTATTCCCTGTTTGATTTTTTTATTATTTTTATTTTTTTCTTAAGAAAGAATTAAAGGCAGAAAGAGAAAAAGAGAAGGGAATTATTTTCGGACAGTATCCGGAGAGAGAAGAAAAGGGGAAAGGAAAACAACAACAACAAAAAAAAAAAAACAACGAAAACAAGGGATGTCCAAATTTGACAAGTGTGTATGCGAATGGATTTTCTCTGCTTCCATTGATCGCCAGAGCAAACATCAGATTCTCGAGAATGTTATCACCACCATCGACGAGTACAAGAAGATGGAGGGGAAGGACCTGAAAACACAGGGGGAGTATAAAAAGAAACTCATATCAGGAATTTCGGGACAATCTCGTAGTGGTCACACGGGGGGAAAAAGAAATAAGGGATCTGTGGTTGACTACAAGTTTTCCAGGAAGGTCAATGAGGTTATCCAACGGCTTGACGATCCGCAAATTACTCCACTTCCAACGAGTTTGTCACAGCGAGAGGAGAATGGAAGCGAGGATGCAAATGTGCCGTTGAACTCGGCAGTGCCTGCAAACCCTTCACAGAATGGACAGTCTCTGCCCTCGGTGGATGGTCTTCAAGAGAACCATGAAATCAATGACGGAGTTGAGAGCGAGGAGCAGTTGACCATTCAAAGCGATCGGGTCGAAACGGATGAGAAATACGAAGAAAATGAAATGGAGGCGATGCGCTACGGATTTGAAACATTCAAGTTTGTCAAGACGGGCTCGCGAGCAAACTCAGCCTCGTCCTCGGATGTGGGCGATGGCGGAAACGCGGCTGCCGCAAACCGCCCCGGCACAGATGAAATTATGGACGACAATGAAGATGAACGGCGGCGCCTTATTACGATGCAGGGTCATTCTCGACTGGGAATATCGGCTCGCAGTATTGGTGCTGAAGAAATGATGTCCACAGAGTTCCCCACCGCAGCCAAGTCATCTGAAGCCGCAAGTTTTATTATGAAGGTGTTGGAAAAACACTTCCTTTTCTCTTTCCTGGATGACAAGGAATTGCACAAGCTGGCGATGGTGATGAATACCGAGGACTTCCCGGAGGGGATAAAGGTTCTTGTCAAGGGGGAGACCAACAGTAAGTTTTACATCATACTTGACGGCAGCGCTACCATTACCATGTTTGAAGATGATCCGGACAGGATTGAGACGGAGAGTCTTCAGAAAGGTTCCGTTTTTGGGGAATTGGGCCTTCTGTATGAAACCCAAAGCGAAGTGAGCGTGGAATCTACCACTCCCCTCTTTTGTGCAACTTTGGAGCGAAATACGTACAAAATTGTGGTCTCTCGGGCCGAAGAAGAAAAGCGTCAACGGTATTTTTCGTTTCTTGAAAACGCTCCCTTCATTAAGGACTTGCCGGCACAGGAGCGTTTGAAAATTGCGGAGGCGTTAAAGGAGGATAAATACACCGAAGGCGACAAAATTATAAGGTACGGTGAGAAGGTGGATTGGCTACATATCATTGTGGAGGGCACGGCTGATGTGATTGGACGAAATGAAGAGGGTGAGGAGGAGTATGTTGTGACAAAAAATGTTGGTGAGTGCTTTGGCGATTTGGAGTTTTTGTATCACCATGAAACGGTGGCCGATGTTGTTGCAACGAGTCCTTTTGTTCGGACTGCCAAGATGAGCCGCCTTCACTTTGAACAACTCATTGGGACCGCCAAGGAGTTACTGGACCGCGAGGTGAAGGAAGATGCATCGTACGACTACTACCGCCGAACGATGGTTGGGACGTCAGCTCCACGAGAGGATCCCACGCCTTCTTTTGATGCGCCGCCAGAATATCTTTCCAAGCTGAATGTGCCGTTGAAATTGTGAATGTGCATGAAGAAGGAAGAGGCGGCCAGAAAAGCAGGCACTTTAGTAAAAAAATATTTTGTATTTGACCGTTGGCACTAAACAACGAGCCCCGCTAGTCCGAGATTTGGTCCTGTGGAATGAAAAGTGGAGTGGCAGTTAGAGCCGACATCATCTTTGGTTAGAGCATTTTTAGTTTTTCTTTTTTTTTTAGCGTCATTGTGTGTGTGTGTCTATGCGGTTTTTATGTATTTATTTATTCCTTTTTGGTGTTTTTGTGTGATTTCCGGTTGTTTGTTGTTTTTCTTTGTTTATTTGTAGTTTCACCATACATGCATTTTTATTTATTTATTTCTAGTCTGCTACTCCCTCTCCCTCTCTCTCTCTCCCTCTCCATTATGAACTGAACGCAGCCATTGACTTCCATGCGGCGCTTTTTTTTTTTTTTTCCTCTTTTCTTTTCCGGTTCCTTCAGAAGAAAAAAAAAAAAGAAAAAACAAAAAACGATGAGGGACGAGAAGGTTAGGAAGAATGAGAGAAAAAAAAAAAAAAAAAAAGACGTTATTTCTTGCATATTTTTACGGAGGCGGGAGAAGGAAAAAAGAGAGAGAGAGAGGGAGAGAGAGAGAGGGCGATAAAATAGGACTAAAAGGGAAAAAAAATTTGTTATTTGTTTTGGACTTCTCTCGCCTGACTGCCGGATTTTATTTTATTTTATTTATTTATTTATTTATTTATTTTGATGCGATCTGATCTGTATTCATGCGGTTCTTTTTTTTTTTTTTCTTCCCTCCGTACATAAGTCTATGTGTGTACTTGTGCTGTCGTACTTGGCAAGGATTAAATTGTTGCAACCAGCATGCTGACTTAAATCACACTTTACTCTCCTGTTTTTTTTTTTTTGTTTGTTTGTTTTTTGTTTTCTTTTTTTTAAGTGTTCCTAAAAAATTTTTTTTTTTATTTTTTCCAATTAATGAAAATAAACTCAAAGAAAAAAAAAGGAAACGAGGGGATATCATTGTTGGCCGCTTGGTTGCCATGGCTTTTGTCTGCCTTCCTTCCTTTTGTTTGCCTTTTGATTGCATGTGGACTCTGCTTTTTTTGTTGTGTGTGTGTGTGTAGGTGCTGCGCAAGGTGGGATTTTGATTTATTGCCTTTTTTTTTTTTGTTTTTTTTAGTTATTTTAGGCGTAATCGATCGTTGGATTTCTTTTTGTGGCATTAGCGCGGTTTCTCATGTCGTCTTATCAGCGCATCACCGCGCAGTTTGCCGGGGGCTGTGAATTACTTTTTGACAAACAAACTCAGCTGCAGCTGGAGGGTATCGTTCCACACGGCACAACCATCAACGGACTGGTGCAGATGCTGAAGGTGAATCACATAAAAGAAAGGCCTGACCTTTTTGTGGATCAATCAGGAACAACGCTACGCCCTGGGATTCTTGTGCTTGTGAACGCATGTGATGCGGAGGTTGTGGGTGGACTCGATTACGTTCTAACGGATGGTGATACAATCGAATTTATCTCGACACTACACGGTGGATGAGGGAAACAAAAAAAATACATAAAAAAAATGATCCCTGCCTTTTTTTTTTTTTTTCCTCTTTCTTTCTCCTGAGGGACGCAGAGTATGCTCTCTTAGCATTTTTGCCCGTTTCCTTCCAGTGAGTTTTTAAGAAGAAGGAAAGTCGCGTCAAACGTGTCGGTTATTTTTTCATGTACGCGCTTTTGTCTCTCGTTGTGACCACTTGTCAACCGACATTTGTTGCGGTGTATGTATTTGTTTATTGACTTTATTGTATTATTTATTTATTTATTTATTTATTTTTTTTTTTTTTGGGGGGGGGGGGGGATCGGCGGCTGGATGTGGTAGGACTAGGCTATTGTTCACCTTGAACTATCTCTTTAATCGATACCGGAAGATGACGGGGGAAGAGACGCTTCTGGCGAACATTAATGTTGGAATTTTGGGTCATGTTGACAGCGGCAAAACGTCACTGGCGAAAGCGCTCTCCTCCACCGCCTCCACAGCGGCGTTTGACAAGAGCCCTGAGAGCCAGCGGCGCGGTATTACTCTCGATCTGGGTTTCAGCGCTTGCTGCATCTCATCCGCCCTGGTGGCACCACCATTGCATGCGGCAGGTATTGAGCAGATCCAATGCACGTTTGTCGACTGTCCGGGCCATGCATCTCTCATCCGGACTATCTTGGCTGGGGCACAGATCATAGACATCATGATTCTTGTTATAGATGCTTGCAAGGGGGTACAGACGCAGACGGCAGAGTGCATCGTAATTGGTGAGGTCCTGTGTAAACCGTTGGTAGTGGTGATTAACAAGATTGACGCGGTCCAAGGCTCAACCCCCGAAGAGAAACGCGTAACACTTGACAAATTGCGGAAACGTCTTCAAAAGACCTTTGAACGCACACGCTGGCCCTCCGTACAGATGGTGGAAGTTGCCGCTGCTCCGCGCAGAGACGAGGCGGCATCAGGAGAGGTTTCTCATCCCATCAATATGGAGGAGGTGATTTCCGCCATTTTGGGTCTTGTGGATTTAACGGCGTTGAAGGACCAGTTGACAACACCGCTACGCTCCGAAGATTTTGTGATGTTGTTTGATCACTGTTTTGTGTTGAAGGGTCAAGGCACCGTTTTCACCGGCACTGTGATTTGTGGCCAAGTCAGTGTCGGGGATAACATTTTGATCCCCGACTCGCACGTGGTAAAAAAGGTGAAGGGGCTGCAGGCATTTCGAAAGCCTCTCCAGCACGCAAGAAGAGGTGATCGTGTGGGGTTGTGCGTGGTTCAATTTGATGCAGAGGGGGTGGAACGGGGTATATTGTGTAGTGCACAACACCAACGAGGGAATGCAATCTCCAACGTACCTCTTCTGTTTGAGAGCACATCAGTGATTGTTGCTGAGGTGAATCGTGTGCGTTTTCATCAGCTTTTGTGTGATGCTCACACAAAATTTCACATCACCATTGGACACTCAACAGTGATGGGAACGATGAAGTATTTTAGCCGCCCCACAACCATTGCGCCTGAGGAGAAGGAAGCATCATTTGATATCTGGCAGGAAAGTATGTATGTTGAGGAACTGACAGAAGACGCCTTTCTCACCTTTGATAGCACGGAAGGACAGCCACAAAGTGGCCAACCGGTTGCCGTGAAACGCGGTCCCCTGACATATTATGCCATCATTCTCTTGGAACGGCCTATTATGGCCGCCGTTGGTACACCACTAATTGCCACACGACTCGATATGGAGCGGGATAACATGTGCCGCATTGCAATTTCGGGGTCTGTGCGCGCGCTTCTAAGCAGTGGAACTTCTGCTGACGCATCGATCATGTCCTGGCGCGAGCTGCCGATTGTGCGCTTTAAATCCAGGGCGCTTGTTGTGGAGCGCGTGGTAAACGAGAAGACTTGTATTGCCAGTGGTGTTGTGGGATTTGAGGTCCCTGAAACACGTGGCGGTAGTATAAACCAGAAATCAAAAGAAAAAGACACGCTGCACGCGGAGGTGAAGAAGTTCATTGGAATGCGGGTTCATTTTCGCCCGACAGGGGAAGAAGGAAATGATGCCACCACCCCCACGGGAGTGAAGGAGGGAATAATTGACTCCGCCTTTGGTAAGACAGGAAAGGTGAAGCTTGTATTCAAGGATCCCATTTTTGCGGAGAATGAGCCTTCGACCACCGGGCGAACGAAGCGAGGGGGCGTGACATTTCTAACGGACGGTGTGGTGGAGCTCACGCTGAAAAAATATCCTCTGGCTGTTCACTGTCAGCTCCAGCAGTAGACGGTTGTGAGAACGGACGAACAGGCCGGTGTATTTTCACATGAAGCGTACCTTTCGGCTCTTGGTCCTCACGGTGCACGGTGTCCTTGATTTCTGACTCCACCCACCTCTTTCAAGCTATTCCACTACTCATCTCATCGTTGTTAAGATTATTATTGTCACCACGCCTGTTTTTGATTTCTTTTTTTTTCTTTTTTTATCCACAAGGACCAGTTCCTCTCGCGATGAATCGACTCGAAGTCATTCGGAAGTCAATTTCATATGTTGGCCTCGATCCGGCCATGTTCAAACCTTACCCTTTTAATGTCAGTAGTTCTGCCCTCTCAGAACTGATGGACTGCATGTCCTACATTGTATTCCCCGAATTCAGTGAACCCCCAATGAATCCTGTGACTGTCCCCGAGCAACGCCTTGGCGGCAGTGCACTGCTTCAATGGACACTGACCCGCATGGCCGACATTATCAACTCACAGATTTATTCTGCCCTTATGCTTCAGGGCCACACGAAATGCTCTAAAGATGAAGCAGGTATTCCCCACTCGTTAAATGCTGAGAGCGGGTCAAATGATGATGGTTTTACACCTCAAAATGAAACTCATGCCTTTGGCGAAGTTAGATCTTTTCATTTGGAAGCCAAGAAAAGGGCGGAAGAGATCACAGAAGCTTTTCTAACGCGTAAATTACGCAGCATACGGTGGCTTCTTCGTACCGATGCAGAAAGTATCCTTAATAATGATATTGCATCCAACTCTCTCTCGGAAGTGGTTCTTTGCTATCCCGGACTACGCTGCATGAAACACCAGCGCACTGCACATGCGTTACACGAACTGGGGGCTCCAAGCATTTTTACGCGCCTTCTTACAGAAATGGCGCATTCCACGACCGGCATTGACATCCATCCTGCTACCTCTATTGGCCATCATTTTTTTATTGATCATGGCACTGGTATTGTGATTGGGTCAACCGCCATCATTGGCAACTACGTATCTATATACCATGGGGTCACGCTGGGGACAAGGTCTTTTCCTGTGGTTGCTAAAACTGGGGAGAAGGTGAGGAACCTTGCACGCCACCCCATTATTGAGGACAGAGTGACCATCTACGCCAACGCTATGGTGCTTGGCCGAATTCGGATAGGGAAGGATAGCGTCATTGGTAGCCACTGCCTGGTCTTGAAGGACTTACCTCCAAAATCCATGATTCGGCGGACATCCAATGCAAAACTCCCTACTCCATATATAACCCTTCAAAAAGGTGGATCGGATATATGAGAGCACCACACACAGTGAAGTAATGATAAAATTGAAAGTATGTTATTTTTTTCGAACTCGGATAGTCAAAAACACACACACAAAAAAAAAAAAAAAAGAAGCAAGAGAATGCGAGGAATAAGGTGAATTGATATTCTTGGGTTACAGCAGTTGGGTTACTTGTGACGGTCGGATTCAAGGGGACAAAGCAGGTGGTGGATATATAAATATATATAAACATCTGATTTTATTCGCTTGTCATTTACGTTTTTTTTTTTTTTTTTTACTTCTTGAAGTAAAACCAGTAATTTTATGAGATGGAGTAAGTTGAGATTAGGTGTATATATATATATACTTGTATAGGTTGTTATATTTTTGTTTGCGTGAAAAGTCTTTACTGTTGTAATGGTGTTGGAATGACGAACTGATTGAATTTGAGGTGTTTTTTTTTTTTTTTTTTTTTTTGATTTACATGTTGTACATGAGATGCCTGAACGTAAATATTTTTTTCTCTCTACCCGCAAACAGGCACAGTATTAGTATTAGTAGTAGTAGTTGTTGCCGTCGTGGTAGGCAAGAAGATGTTTAGTGCTTCTGCCCTATGGCTCCGAGGTCAGTACAAGACACGTCTTAAGAAGCGCATGGTCGGCTTTATTCCCAAAGTGATTCCACGCAAGATAAAGAACAATATGGTGGCTCTGCGTAGCGAGGCAAACACAGGGCACATGGAGGGCTACATGAAGACCGAGGCGGAAAGACTTGACGCTACAGGTCGCAAGGTTCAAAAGGTGCTATGGGACCCCGTCTTGCAGAGGCACTGCTTGTTCAAGGAAACAAAGATTCGAGGGCCCTTCATGACGAAAGCGAACATCGTTAAGAAGATGGATTTCCCCATTGGAGCAGCGGGGAACGCTTCTGTGAAGTAAGTGGCCCTGTCAGTGCGAAGAAGAATGGGAAGGGCTGGAAAGAAAAGAGGTGTGCGAAAAACACGGCGCAGCTGCTTTTTCAAGAAAAATTAAACCTCTTAAAAGATTATTATTATTATTATTATTTTTTACCGCCCACCAACACGTAGGCATGTAGAGAGATATCAATTTTCCTTTTTTATTACTTTTTTGGACTTTTTCCCCTTTTTTTTTCTCTTTTCCGTTCATGAAGGCGATTGTGTGCATCTATGCCCTTGCAAAAGCCAAGAGTGGCTGCCGTGGTAGATGGGGAAGACGACTCGGATGACGGAGAGCTTTCTCACACGGCCAACGCACGAAGAGCTCCTTCTGTGGAGGAGCTCAAACAGAACGTCACTTTATTGTACCAGCGTGCGGCAGTTCAGTCGTCGTCACAACAGGCTACCCCACCTCGGAATGACCCACACGTCGTGGAATTGCCACCGCCACCGCCAGCGCCTTCCCGAAAGTTGCAGGTCCGAGAATCGGACGAAGGCCTATCAGCGCTACAGAGACAATTAACAGCACTTCAGTCAGTGCTTAGGAGTAGTCAAAAAAAGTTCCAAGTGCGTGACGACGCAACGGCAAGACGGCCGCTACCAATTGTTACTGCATCCCAATTCAAACGTCCAATCAGTGAGGACTTCCTCCATGAATTGAGAGGATGTCGGTTAACACAATCTGCCGGAGATGAAAATACTGCACATCTAAAAGAAGGTTTCTCTTGTCACTGTGAAAACAATTTAAGGAGTGCTTACAACAGATGGAGAGATATTCTTGCAGAAATACACGCAAATGCATTAAAAAGGACATCAACAATTGCCTCCAAGCTAGATTTGGAAATCAAAGGCCAGAAACAATTCTTGGAGGAAGCACGGCAGCGTATTAAAGGTACCATTCTGCTAACAGACACGCTTTCTGATACAATCACTTGCTTTACTCGCCATTCTTCGGAGCATTATGGCGCTCTTCAGAAAAAACAAAAAACCTCTACCTAATGACCGAAAAGGACACAGTGAATTTCAGTTTTTCGGCAAGGAAGAATTCCAATTGCGCCACCTTTCTACCTCTGTATTGTATTTCCTGTTTCTGTGCATGCTTGTTCTCACTTTTTTATTATTGTTATTATTTTTTATTTCTGCCTTGCCACACTGGATGATCTCACTCTTTTTTTAGGGAATCCCAGGCACACTCACATGTCTCACTGCAAGTTTGAACATCCGCGCCACGGCCATCTTGGCTTCCTGCCACGCAAGCGCAGCCGACAGATTCGCGGCCGCGTTCGCTCCTTTCCTAAGGATGACCCGTCACAAAAGCCGCACCTGACCAGCTTTATGGTGTTTAAGGCGGGCATGACACACATCGTTCGCGACGTTGATCGACCCGGCTCCAAGGTGAACAAGAAGGAGGTTGTGGAGCCGGTGACGATCTTGGAGGCACCGCCCATGGTGGTGGTGGGCATCGTCGGCTACCGCCAGACGCCTGTGGGCCACAAGACGATCGGCACCGTGTGGGCGCACCACACCAGCGTGGAATTCCGCCGCCGCTTCTACAAGAACTGGAAGCAGTCCGCGCAGCTGGCCTTCACGAAGCGCAAGCAGTTTGCTCGCACGACTGAGGGTCGCCTTGCCGAGGCGCGCACGCTGAAGGCCTTTGCCAAGAAGGCTGACATCATCCGTGTTGTTGCCCATACCCAACTGCGCAAGCTGCGTAACAACCGTGTTGGTGTGAAGAAGGCGCACGTGAGCGAGATCCAGATCAACGGCGGCACCATTGCCGAGAAGATTGAGCTTGCCAAGTCTCTCCTGGAGAAGGAGGTCCGCATTGACTCCATCTTCCAGCAGTCCGAGACGTGCGACGTGTGTGCCGTGACAAAGGGTCATGGGTTCACTGGTGTCGTGAAGCGCTGGGGCGTTGCCTGTCTGCCGCGCAAGACCCACCGTGGTCTGCGTAAAGTGGCCTGCATTGGCGCGTGGCACCCCGCCCGCGTGATGTACACCGTTGCCCGTGCTGGCCAGCACGGCTACCACCACCGCACGCACCTCAACAAGAAGATCTACCAGCTGGGCCGCGCGGTGTCGATGGAGCCGAACCAGGCCACGACCACGTACGACCTCACAGCCAAGTCCATCACTCCGATGGGTGGCTTTGTTGGCTACGGTACAGTGCGCAACGACTACATCATGCTGAAGGGCTCCGTTGCGGGTCCTCGCCGTCGCGTCATCACACTGCGTCGTCCCATGGCCCCACAGACATCGCGCAAGCTCACGGAACAGATCACGCTGAAGTTCATTGACACAAGCTCCAAGATTGGTCATGGCCGCTTCCAGACAAAGAAGGAGAAGAGCCAGTGGTTTGGCCCCCTCAAGAAGGACCGCATTCGTCGCGAGGAGCGGCTCCGCAAGGAGCGCGTGGCTCGCGCTGCGGAGCGCAAGGCGAAGGGTGGTGCTGTTGCCGCCGCCCCAAAGAAAGCAAAGAAGTGATCATCTTAGCTCTTGCGTAAAAGTTTCTTAACTAGGAAGAAACACGTGCTGGGAAACACCAACTAATTTTTTTTATTTTGTTTTTACGTGACTTTTGCCCGTTATTTTTATTTTTTATTTTTATTTTGCTTTATGCCAGATGTGCTTTTCCGATGGTTGTTTTATGATTTGTTTTATGGTTTGTGTTCTTTTTGCTTTTGTTGATTTATTATTGTTATTATTTTTTATTTCTGCCTTGCTACACTGGATGATCTCACTCTTTTTTTAGGGAATCCCAGGCACACTCACATGTCTCACTGCAAGTTTGAACATCCGCGCCACGGCCATCTTGGCTTCCTGCCACGCAAGCGCAGCCGACAGATTCGCGGCCGCGTTCGCTCCTTTCCTAAGGATGACCCGTCACAAAAGCCGCACCTGACCAGCTTTATGGTGTTTAAGGCGGGCATGACACACATCGTTCGCGACGTTGATCGACCCGGCTCCAAGGTGAACAAGAAGGAGGTTGTGGAGCCGGTGACGATCTTGGAGGCACCGCCCATGGTGGTGGTGGGCATCGTCGGCTACCGCCAGACGCCTGTGGGCCACAAGACGATCGGCACCGTGTGGGCGCACCACACCAGCGTGGAATTCCGCCGCCGCTTCTACAAGAACTGGAAGCAGTCCGCGCAGCTGGCCTTCACGAAGCGCAAGCAGTTTGCTCGCACGACTGAGGGTCGCCTTGCCGAGGCGCGCACGCTGAAGGCCTTTGCCAAGAAGGCTGACATCATCCGTGTTGTTGCCCATACCCAACTGCGCAAGCTGCGTAACAACCGTGTTGGTGTGAAGAAGGCGCACGTGAGCGAGATCCAGATCAACGGCGGCACCATTGCCGAGAAGATTGAGCTTGCCAAGTCTCTCCTGGAGAAGGAGGTCCGCATTGACTCCATCTTCCAGCAGTCCGAGACGTGCGACGTGTGTGCCGTGACAAAGGGTCATGGGTTCACTGGTGTCGTGAAGCGCTGGGGCGTTGCCTGTCTGCCGCGCAAGACCCACCGTGGTCTGCGTAAAGTGGCCTGCATTGGCGCGTGGCACCCCGCCCGCGTGATGTACACCGTTGCCCGTGCTGGCCAGCACGGCTACCACCACCGCACGCACCTCAACAAGAAGATCTACCAGCTGGGCCGCGCGGTGTCGATGGAGCCGAACCAGGCCACGACCACGTACGACCTCACAGCCAAGTCCATCACTCCGATGGGTGGCTTTGTTGGCTACGGTACAGTGCGCAACGACTACATCATGCTGAAGGGCTCCGTTGCGGGTCCTCGCCGTCGCGTCATCACACTGCGTCGTCCCATGGCCCCACAGACATCGCGCAAGCTCACGGAACAGATCACGCTGAAGTTCATTGACACAAGCTCCAAGATTGGTCATGGCCGCTTCCAGACAAAGAAGGAGAAGAGCCAGTGGTTTGGCCCCCTCAAGAAGGACCGCATTCGTCGCGAGGAGCGGCTCCGCAAGGAGCGCGTGGCTCGCGCTGCGGAGCGCAAGGCGAAGGGTGGTGCTGTTGCCGCCGCCCCAAAGAAAGCAAAGAAGTGATCATCTTAGCTCTTGCGTAAAAGTTTCTTAACTAGGAAGAAACACGTGCTGGGAAACACCACCTAATTTTTTTTATTTTGTTTTTACGTGACTTTGCCCGTTATTTTTATTTTTTATTTTTATTTTGCTTTATGCCAGATGTGCTTTTCCGATGGTTGTTTTATGATTTGTTTTATGGTTTGTGTTCTTTTTGCTTTTGTTGATTAATTTTTTTTTTGATTTCATTGTTGCTGTTTATTTTATTTTATTGTTATTTTTTAGGTAGTTTTTTTTTTTGTTGTTGTTGTTGTTATTGTTTTGTGTTTATATTTTTCGTTCTTATATTGTGTGTAATGTCGAGGGTTTCAGCAAACGATGATTCAAAAGGGTTTGATTTAACGTTTGGATTTGCTGCTGGAGGCTGGTTTGGGATGTATCACTTTGGTGCTTGTCAAGCGATTGTTGATTCCGGAATTATTGATCGATTGACGGCGGAGGGAAAACGTGTTCGCTTTGCCGGAAGTAGCGCGGGCGCACTTGTTGCTTTGTGCATGGTTTTGAAGAATTACCGGTTCAAGGAAATGCGGGATTTTCTAATGGGGTGTGCGGAGCATTACCGTTATTCATGGCTTAACTTGTGTTGTATAGATCGATATCTTGACGACGCTTTGGATCAATTTGGTGGTCATCTGAGAGACTTGGAGATGAAGCAGGAGTTATTCGACACGTTGAACGATGGATTACTGGAGATATTTGTGACAACGCTTCCAAAGATGAAGTCAAAAGTTTTTACGGAGTTCCATTCGCATGAAGATGTCGTGGAAGCCGTGAAAGCGTCTTGTTGTGCGGCGCCGTTTGTGGGCGTGCCGTTCCGGCTGCGAGGAACAGGGGAATGGGTCTGCGATGGTGGCTTGTCGATTGTCACACCGCACAATGGCGAGCCCCGAACAATTACGGTGAGCCCTTTTTATTGTAGCACGGCAACCGTACATCCCACCATTTTTGTTCCGTTCTGGTGGGTATTACGCCCACCTGGGAAGGTTGCTCTCCGGAATCTGTTTGCACTGGGTTACAATGACATGATAGAGGGACTTGTTGTGAACGGTTACATTACACCCGAGAAGGGCGAGTCATTGCTAAGGCCTGAAGTACAATTTTTAAATGGGGGTGGTATGTTCCGGCGTTATGGTTTGTATTTGCTTGATTTTTTGGCTTTCATATTTGTTCGTCCGGTCGTAGTTTTATGCATTTACGTCGAACTTGCATTCATGAGTTTTTTCTATTTCTTACGGGGTTTATTCTGCCTGGATAACAGACCAATTAGGAGAATGTATGACAACCTGAGAAATATCGTGTCTATTCGTACATTGGGTAGACTTATTTTCGGCGAAAATGTACCGCACAATGTCGAGCGTCTGGAGAAAAGTTCTCGGGTTTACCGCGTGTTTAATCCAATTCTCTTGGGAGGGAAAAATACCACGGAGAGAGCTGTCATGAGTCCCACAGGAGTTTGCAGTGGTGTTATGCCTACACTATCTTCCAAAACGCGGAAGAGGGCAACGAGCGCTGCCCAAGAGAAGTCGGGGAAAATTTATCGCCGCTTGTGATTATGAATGTTTTTTTGCTTTACATATATTCCACATGTCTTTTGCAGTTTTATATTCCCTTTTTTGGTCCACTTACACCTACACCATTCAATATATATATATATATATATATATGTAAGTCGGTATTTTATACGCGAATGTTTAGTACTTGTCGGCAGCCGCAGCGAAGCCAGATGAAGAAAAGAATGATAATTTGAATATGTCTGTTTTATTTGCATCATACCCGGAGGTTTTTTTTTTTCTTCCTTTTTTTCTTTCTTTATTTTTTTCTACGTTTTTTTTTTTTAATCCAGTTTTGGGCGGGAGTCTGGTAGTGCTGAACACCAATTTTCATGAACGGAGGGGGGAGGGAGGGGCTTTTTCTCCGGCGGGTGCGTTGCCTTCCCACTTTTATCCGCCAAGTGTTTTTGCGACGTTTTGCTGTCGGGAATGTAGTGGTTTGCTTCTCTCTCTCTCTCTGTGTGTGTGTGTGTGTGTGCGATTTCCCCTTCTGTATTATTTTTGTTTTTAGTTTCGCGTCTTTTGCACGTAGAGTGGAAAGAGCACTGAAAAAAAAAAAAAAAAAAAGTAGGGCCTTTTGCCTTCTTGATAACTTTTTTTTTTTCTTTTGGTTCACATTTTGGCAGCCCATCAGCATCCATCTTTGCTCTGAGGAGTCCCTCATGTTTCGCTGCTCCCTCCGCGGTCTGCAAAAGGCGTTTGAGAGCCACACAACAACGTTGGAAGATAAGAGCTTCAAGGGAAAGGCGAAGTCGGAACTGAAGAAGCTGCTGAAGATTCAGCTTGTTTTGATCCCCATTGTTGTGGCGTGGGTCATGTTTGCCTTTCCGCACCCGTCCGTAGAAGAAGAGAAGCGGCTACGTGCGGAGTACGAGAAGAACGCTGGTTGGAAGACGTAAACGGAGAGGGCGATTTTAAATTTGACTGTGGACAGGTGCACAAACCGACGAATATATACAATAAATTTATACCTTTTTTTGTTTTGTTGTTCTGCATGCATGGCTATTTGTTTGCGGCCCTTCTTTATTGTTATTGTTATTATTATTATGTTTTGGAGGTTGCGACGGGACCGCAGTCTATGGTACTACTTTTTGCCTTTCTTTTTTATTTTATTTACGTCTGTGTCTTTTTGTTTGTTTGTTTGTTTGTGTGTGTGGCTACCGTGTCCAAGTATGACGCTGTCTTGGCGAGGAACATGATGCGTCTGACACGGCGATGCCTCTTCATCACGAAGATCAGCAAGATCTCACGGCCCCCCGCCAGCGGCTACGAGATTGCCGAGCTGCCAAATGAAAAGGTTTTCATGGAATTTTTAAAGTATTACAACACAAAGTGTGTTCTGGCCGTTCTCCATTCCGGCTCTCTTCGCAGCACGGCGGGAGAAGGTGGTGCCGGTACGAAGATCGTGGAGGATCCGCTCACGCGCAGCTTCATCTCGTCCATCAATGCAATGAACATGGGAAATCCCAACGAAACGAAACTGGCGCTTGTGCCTGGGCCGCATGCCCCAAGAATGGTGGAAGAGTACGGCGTGCTGACTTACCCAACGGTGCTCTTGTTTATGAATGGGAAGTGCGTGGAGCGGGTCGTGGGTGCCCGCACGCGAGAGGTGTCCATCAAGGCACTCTTTACGCTTCGAAATGCGGGAAGAAACATCTTTTCAAGGGAGTGAATAATTATCCAATTGCGGCCCTATTGACGTGTCAGTAAAGCAGACAATTGTCTTTTTTTAAAGGCAACAGAGAAAAACGCAGAAAAAAGAAGGATGTGTCACGGTCTTTTATGTCGTGGTGTAAAAAGTACTGATTGGTGTAACTTTTGTGTGTGTGCTTCTTTTTTTTTTTTTTTTGTCTTGGCGCTTTGGACTTTTTTTCATATATTTTTTGTTGTTGTTGTTTTTAGAGGTTTCATTGGTGCGGCTGAAAAAGGCAGTCGTGACGAATAATGGCGTCATTAAACGCACATGCAGGGGGAAATGTCGAGTGGGGGTCATATGTTGCACGCTGCCCGGTTTGTGCCATGGGTCCATGCACGGGGACGTGTTTGAAAGTACCCAACGAGGGCACGTGTGGCAAGGAGGGAAACACGTCGGCCCCTAATGGCAGTACTTGTGTTCTACCGGAATTGTGTCTCAACGACTTGAACAAGCTCTTAGGCGAAGAGTTTAATGAAACAGATATGCACCATGATGAGGGTAATGAGGGTGATACAAGAATACACGAAAATGAAAAATACTGCTAGTGAAACCTGTTTATCTACCACGATGATGTGTATTCGTGGAGCTCGTGAGATGGAGGAGGAGCTAGGGGCGGCAAAAAAGCAGTTAGAGGACCTCATGTTAGACCAGGTGGAGTTTTTTTCTTACTCTTTAGAAAACGTGGGTAATGGCATTAACACTGCTGCAGGGCAGATAGATTTAAATATTATCGATGAGATATTGTCGGAGGATAGTTTTGACTCTGACGATGCAGTTTTCTTTCGCGTGGCCGAAGAGGATCCTGTTCCCAAGCCCACCGAAATCGGTAGTAGTCTTGCTGTATTGGTAAGCCAAAACTCCGCACTGGCGATGATGCGTTCAAAGGTCAGCCAATTAAAGCGTCGCTATAAAATGGACGGATTTGATCTTGACTTGACATACATTACTCCGCGGTTAATTGCCATGGGATTTCCTGCATGGGGCACGGAGAAATATTATCGGAATCCCATTGATCAGGTAGAACTTTTTCTTGAGAGCAAGCATGGAGGTCACTATCGTATTTACAATCTATGTTCCGAGCGACCGGAGTATGATTCCCCCAAACGGTTTCAAGGGAAATTTAAGCGGTTTCCGTTTGATGACCATAATGCTCCGTGCCCTATAAGTCTTGTGATTGATTTTATCCGCGATGCCACATCGTTTTTGGAGGAAGACGCAAAAAACGTTGTGGTTGTACACTGCAAGGCGGGGAAGGGTAGAACAGGAGTGATGGTTTCATGTCTACTACGTTCACTTGACCCTATTGGCATTCCTGACGCAAAGGAGGCCTTGCGTGTGTTTGGCAACGCACGGACGTACAATGGCCTTGGCGTGACCATCCCTTCACAGTGTCGGTATGTGTACTACTACGATCGTATAGTACGGGACTTTGGTGGACAACTCCCACCGTCCCGCCCAATAAAACTCTACCAGATTATCGTCGATTCCAGTATCAAGTCTTGTGGTCAGGTGGATGTGTATTTCACTGTGGAAGAAAACGGTGTGATGAAAATTGACTCCCGCCACTTGTTTCACGGGGGACTTAAAAGGGATCCAAAGGGATTTTTCTTTCTCTTTGAGGAGGAACCGACGCTTCAGGGCGACTTGCGTTTTACTTTCCATCAGCGTCACCGCCTTTTCAATGAGGAACTTTTCTATTTCTGGATAAACACCTCTCTCTGTAGTAATTATGAGCGTTTCTCGCTTAAAGATCGTGAGCTGGATGGACGACTCTCGAAGGGAAAAGATGGAGACACATTTTGTAAGGATCTGGCGGTTAATGTGATTTTTGTGGATTAACCGCTCGGTCTTTGGGCAACCGACGGTCTGATAGACTGGGAGGCGGAGCTTGCCGTTGCCATTGAAGGATCGCGAATGAAGTTATCACTTAATTTTTTTTTATTTTTTTTTTTGCGATATATATATATATATATATATATATATGCATTCTGTGTACCCTCAGCCCCCTCTTAAGAAGACTGCACACGAAATAAAAATAAAAGATTTACTTGAATTAGAAAAGAAGGCGGAAAAACAAGCAAACAAACAAAAACGGACGACAAATAATACATCGCAAAAGAAGGAACACTTTTCTCGGAGAGTTTATTTTACTTTCTTTTTTTTCTTTTTCGGTATTCTTTTTTTTTTTTTTTAAATGCGTCTGTGTTTCTGCGTCTTCTTTATCCTTTGTATCTGCTGTCTTGTGTGTGCTTAATACGACTTGGGGTGTCGTTAATGCGAGAGGAGTTGCTGACGATGGTCGAGGCTTACGATGGCTGCATCGTTACCCACTTTATTTTATTTACATGTATGCTTGTCTGTATTATGGTGGTTGATGAGCTCCCTTCTTTGTTTTTGTTTTTTGCCTTTTTGCCTTTCCTGGCAAGGAGGGAAAGCTGCTCTTGTCGTTTTCGGACCTGACAAAGAGACACGGTTGCCATGTCTAAAGTTGTGCCGCTTCCAGGCATCACATTTGCCGGTGCGTCGTATGCGCGTAACGAAAGAGTTTTTGATTCGCTGCCGAAGAACGACAAAAGAAGAATCCGGCGTGGTGAAGTGATTCGCTTTAGGGGCGCGCCTCGTTCATTCGAGCGGCCACGTTGGAACATTTCCGTGTTGGATGAGGCTCACCCGTTTCCTCAGCTTCCCATTATGCACTCTTTGCATAGCTTTGAGGGTGTGGAGGTGCTCCATAGGGAGTTTCCCGAGATTGTTCGTGGGGCGAAACATCTTGAAACGAAATGCCGTCCAGGGCTGTGGACAACGAGGGTAAAGAAGGGATCTCCCAGGGACGTTGACAGTGCCAGGGAGCGGTGGAACAGTTATCTTTCCCGAGTTATCGCGTCTGAGTGCTCGGAAAGAAAAAAGGAGTTGCGGAGTGGATGGGACTCATCAAAGAAGTCTTGGACATTCACAGGACGTATCGGTGACCCGAAGGAGAGCCAAAGAAGCTACGTGGAACTAAACAAAACAAAGAAAATCTTGAATATGGACGCGTACAATAGTCCTCTCTCTCGAGTGAAGAAAATGAATGAGAGCATTCGAGCAGCAAAGCGAAATGAAAAGATGCGGAAGGAACAGACGTCACTAACACATGTTTGCGCCTCTGGTGCTCCGGCAGTTTTTAAGATGAGCAACATTGATGAGTGGTGGCACTTGGATCCCACCCTCACTGCAGCAGAGACAACGGCAGCGTCAGCCGTGAATGTAAATAAGGGATCAGAACAGTAAAGATTGGAAGAGCCATCTTTTTTTTTTTTTTTTTACCCATTCTTGTTATGTTTCCATAGGGCCGGGAGCTGAAAAGATCACTGGTCATTTGCCTAATTGCCCGAGCAAGATGTAGTCAGGAAACGATGTTGCCATTTCGTCCCGTCTATTCTGTGACTTCTCTGTTTCTTCCCCCATACACATTTGCAGACCGCATTTCTATATGTGTGTAAACTTATCGCCCCTTTTGACATGTTTCTCTTTTGGTAACTGAAAGGAAGGACTCTTAGAAACATAAACAGTGAAAATAACAAGTCAAACGAAGCACGTGAACGAAGTGTGGGATTTTTGACCTTTTTGTTGTTGTTGTTGTTGAGGGAGTCTTTTGAACACGAGAGGGAATAAGGTGTTATAACGGTGTATACAAATGACGGATACTTTGATGGAGCCAAATGAGTTCCAGAAACTCGTTGGAGTCCTTATGAAGGAAAAATATATTTACGAGCAAAGTGCCGCAGACAATGTGTTGAGACAACATCGCCAGTGCACGGAACGCAGTCGCTCTGCATCACGGACGCCCAACAACTGCCGGTCCCTCAGCAATGCCAGCCTTGGCAGCCGCGCCGCAATTCGGCGAAGTGGCAGCGTAAAGTTGGGCGGGCGGCCACCGCGCATCCCGTCAGGGAGAAGAACACCCAATCCCGCCCCGGAGGATTCTTTGCGGAGTGAATCTAACGATAGCCGTGGCTTTTCCGATATGTCTGTGCAGCACGGCATTCCCAGCAACGATGCGGAGAAAAAGAAGATGGAAGAACTCACGGCATGTGTGCTAGGGTCCGCTGGACCTCAACTGTTTTCAAACGATTCTCATGAGGGCAGCGAATCTGCAATGGAGAAACCCGAACCGTCTACTCCGGAGGACGAGGAAGACAGGGTGGATCAAGGGCCTCTTTCAGCGCAGCCTCCGATAAGACGCAATTTATTACAAAGTCCGCCAGCTGACCATGATGATAACCCTCCAGTAACGACGTGCAATGAAATGGAAGAAAAACAACAACCGTTGCAATTCATTCCTCCATTAATTGCGTGCTCTCGATGCACACTCCTTGAATCCAAACTGCAAGACATGCAAGAAGCCTTGAGCAGGCTCACGGAGGATGTTATGCGTATTGCGGCTGGACAGGCGAAGAACGACGGCATGCTACAAAGCACTGATTCCGCATCGGAATTTTCTGGGAATTTGAAGGAGTTGAGTGGCTCAACCGAAGAGAAATTTCTTACTGTCATCATTGCACTGGCCAAGCGGGTGCGTCGCCTGGAAGTGGACTTGGAAGCATCATTGGAACAAGTACGGGTGATGGAATCAGCCGCTATTGAAAGGGATATGAAGCTAAACCGCACCAAGGTGGACCATAATGAAATTGAGGAAGTGGTCGCTAAGGCGTTGTCGAACAAGTACATGGAAGACTTCAATGAACTAACAAATTTTTATCGAATGTGGGAATTAAACCCAAAGGATGTGCGACAGGCTCTCGACTCATCGAGTTTGTCGTCCTGTATAGATCTTCTTTTACGTACACCGCCGTTTGCTCGTGTTTTACGGATAATGATGGATAAAGATAGTGAAATACTGAACGCGCTTCATGAGCAACAGCGTTGCAGCCTTGAGGCAGAACGTCGCGCCTACTATGAGTCCAAGCCGTTACCCAACAATCAAGTTGATGGTTCTTTGACGACTGTTCAAAAAGAAATAATTCCTCTTCATGAGCAACTATTGGGGATATATTTGGCGGATGAAGAGGGCTTGGAGGGGGTGCGTGTGATATCCGTCCCTGCGGCATCCCAAGCAGTGCACGCTGTGAGTTATGGGGATGTGATAGTTCAAGTCAATCATGTCACAGTACATTCTGTGGCTGATGTATCGTATGTGCTTTCGCGTACACGACCTTCCGCTCCCGTTGCACTTTCTATTTTGGCACGCAACAAGCCGTATTTGCGGATTGTTGAGGTGCAGCCTACCGAAATTTTTTGAAGGAAAATGTGGAGGGGGAAGAGTCATTTCTAATTGGCACAGAAAAGCCGTTGAAGACTTGAGTTTTCTCTAGCCATGCCACCGGCATGTGCCAATGGAGAGTGTTAACATTTGAGAGGGCATGGAATTTCGATTCTTTTCTGTTATATATATATTTTCTTTTAATATGCTCTCTCTTCCTTTCTGTATGCTTAAGGACGGTTCATGTATCACACAATTTTTTCTTATCGTCATTATCGAAATGATTTTGGTGTTTTTTTCTTTCAATATGTGTAATATGCATACATATATATTTGATTTGGTTTTCTTAACTTTCACCCGTTGATTTCTGCCTACTTGGCGACAGTGGTTTGTGTGTTAATAGCACGCTCTTCCACCTTTGCTTCTGCCATTATTTGTGGACGCCACTTTTTTTTTTCTGTGTGTGTGTGTTCTCCTGGCTGTTCGTAAACTGTTACTTTTTTGCGACAAGGTATTTAACCAGTGGTGGGAAATAAAGGGTGGGTGTGGGTGTGCTGGAAAAGCATTGAAAAAAAGAGTGATAGCTGACAAGCGTAGCCCGGAGAATTTAAATGGCAGTCCTTTACGCTTCCAAGGCGAAGTGTACTCGCTTCAAGGCGATAGTGGAGAGAACAAGACGGCTTCTTTTTACCGGTGCATCAGGAGCTAATGGGATTCGTGCCCTTAGCCGCAGTCTTGGCATAGCAGTAGACGCTGGTGGGAAACTTGTGGATAAAGCCACCTTTGTAGAATGCCTAAAAAGTAACGATGTCCCATTGGACGAGGAGGATGTGGAGGCAATAATGTCTGTCTTGGATAGAACTGGGGATGGCATGCTTGATCCGGTGGATTTTATTGCAGCCTTGCGACGAGAACTCACTCCAGTGAAGCGTACTTGGATCATACGGTTGTGGTACACCTTTAGGCAGAACACGAATGGGACGATTTTCATTGAAGATCTCGTGAATGCGTTTAATCCTGCAGGCCATCCTTCCGTTTTGTCTGGAGAGCGCAGCGAAAAGGAGGTGCGGGAGGAATTTCAAGGGACGTTCAATACCACCACCAATCCTGATGGTGTATTGACGCGGCAGGAGTTTGAGCAGTACTACTCGTGCGTCGCTGGATCGTGCCTTGATGACGCTTCGTTTGTGGCGCTCTTACGAGGTGTATGGCCTGCGCTTGCAGGTAAGTCAGGCCAACACGTTACAGTGAATGATGAAAGGGAAAACATTTGTGGTGCAACCTTCAAGGCTTCTCAGACGGCAGTTCAGAAAGGCGCTGTCAACAAGGTCAGACAAATTGCTGCGGACTTTGATGGGATTATTCGCACCTCACACCGTCCTGCTGTCATGGCCTCACCGCTTGCCGCTCGACAGGTTTCTCTCTTATTGCGCGTAAAAGATGCAGAGGGGGCATTTTTTCTTACGAGGGAGGACTTTTTGGCGACATTGTGGCAGCAACGCCTATACATTGCAAAACCGGAAGAAGCTCTAGAAGTTTTGGATACAAGGGGAGACAGCTCTGTCGATTACTTACTTTACCTGACGATGCTTTTACCGCAACTTTCCCCAGCCCGTATGATGATGCTTGAGCGACTCTGGGAGTTGTTTCCAAAAGACACATGCGGTACTATCGATGTCTTGGAGCTTCACAATTCTTTCAATGCAAAAGATGGTGAGGAAAAGAATGCTTTTCTGAGTGCATGGGACGTTCGTCTTGCCATTCAACGGCGGGTTACTTTGGAGGAAATTGTTGATTGGTACATTCCTATGAGCGCGACAGTACAGTTGGATAAGGATTTTGAGGCGGTGCTGAAGAGACAGTGGAACTTGGCATAGATGCGGCTGTTTCGAAGAAGCAAACATGTAAATAAATATATATATATGAATGCAGGGATATATGGGACGATCAGAGGGAATTTTCCTGAGATTCTCTGTACACATGTAGAGTATGATTTTTGCGTTTTTGTGAGGAGGAGAAGGAGGAATTCACTTATTCCACTGTAACTCACGTGCAGAGTGAAGGGAAAGGAATGATCAGAAGAAGAAAGGAAGCGAAGGGACAAGTAAAAAAGGACTGATTTTGTTCCTTCTTATTCTTGGTTTTTGCTGTTGAGTCTCTTTTTTTTTTTTTTTTTGGATTGAATACAACTTTTTTTTTTTTTTTGCGGCTTGTTTTGACGTGAAATTCACAGTCATTTTTTTTTTTTTGCGCTTACATACGGCCACATCGATGTGGGTGGAGTGAGTCGTAGAGGGGGGAATACAACGAATAGGTGAGGCGCACACACACACGGGGGGGGAAAAAAAGTAACAAAAGTGCAAAAAAATGCAACTCGGAGGGCACTTTTACACGGCGTCTTTCATAGCCGTTATTTTGGCATGGCAGTTTTTGTTGGATTTTGGAGGCATTTGGGGGGTTGCTACGATCTGTCAGTTCGTGGCTGTTACGCTGCCGCTTCTCTGCATGGCGTTTAGGCTTTTTTTGGGGTCGAGATGGGGATCTCACAAGGTGCATAAAGGCATGCCGTTGGACTTCAAGCGTTTTCTCGGTGCGATCCGTCTATGCGTTGCTGGCTATTTTTTTTCCATGTCGGGAATGCAGACGTTGTTTCTTCTTTTGTCCGTGTACAACTTATATGTGACATTGAAGAGGGTTTCCTCAGCGGGGATGTTTTGGATACCCATTCGAGGTGGAAGTCGTGCGTACGCCGACTCCTCCAAGCCACGCACAAGTAGCTTGAGGCCGGATACGGATCAACAGAAGCGCTGCGTCATAATGGACGAGGGACCACATTTTAATCGAATTGCCCGTGGGTGTTTGTTGTAAGGAAGCGGAGGCAAAGAAGGGTTTACAACCCGGACGTGTTTTTGTGCGGATCATATACATGGAAAGTGTGTACGGGTTTCAAAGCGGTTTTATTTCTCCGGTATTGATAGAAGAATGTGTACAGATGGTTTTTCCAATGCCTTCTATATATATATATTACTTAATTTTAAATGCTTTTGTTTGAAGCCCACGTTGCTTTAGGGCGATGTTGCTTGTGTTGTTTACTGTTCTTTTTTTTTTTTTTTTTAAGAAAAAGAGTTTAGGTGCGTGCTGTAGGCGCGGGGTGCCAAATAAATACGCAGACGGAGAGAAATACCGCAAAGGCTATGGATTCGGAGCCATTTGCATTTGACGGTGAAGGCAGCCGCGCTCGCCAGAGTGAGTACGTGGATATGACTCTCGTGCATCTCGGCATGAAGTTGCGTGACATGGGCATTGCATTTGAGGATATGGAGCTTGCGACGGTGCCAACGCAGTTTGCAGAGCAACTGCTGAGTTACATCGAGGCATTCGAGGAGCGGGAGTCTGCAATCCGAGCTGCAACGACGGAGCACCGCGCCCAACTGGAGCAGGAACAAAAGCGACTGGAGTCGCTGCAGGAGGCCACAGAAAAAGCGAGAGGTGAGGTGGCGATATTGTCCGAGCGAATCAGCTCCGCGCTCAGTGCATTTCGCGGGGAAGAAAAGTTAGAGGCGCAGCACCGGCGGGAGCGACAACGGGACGTGCAGGATATCGTGCGACAGATTGAAAAGAAGGAGCTTGAGCTAAGGAGAGAGACAATGGAACGGGACCGTTTATCTAAAATGCTGAAGAAAGTCAAAAAGTAGTACCGTGTGGGTCTGCTGGGGGTGAAGAGGCAGCTTTTCTATTCGATTATTTATTTATCTTATTCTATTTAAGTGGGAATTCACATCCTTTCGTGTGCATGCGGCTCTGAGTGGACCGCGGGAAAGGAGCTACGCGTGCACACACAAAATATCGCTCCCCACCTTCCTGTTGTAGATTTTAGATGCAGAAGAAAGAACAATTATAGAAAAAAAAAAAAAGAACATTATAATTTTAATGTTGATGCCCTCAGTAAATGGTGGTGTGCTTTTTGTAAAAAGACGCATTCCGAGTATGCCACATTGACGACAGTAAGGAGAAGAAATTCCTAAAATAAAATTTTTATTTTATTTGTTATTTGGAGAGGCTGCATTTCTCTTCCGGCTGATATATTTGTATATTTGTATATATTGCTCTTCATTAAAGGAAAAGTGGGATTGGATATTGGGAGGGTCGGAAGGAGCAATAGAACAACAATAACAACAACAAGAAAAGGTGTTAGAGGCAGTGACGTTTGAATTAACAGCGAAAAACCGAAAAAAAGGAAAAAAAAAAAAAAAAAAAAAGATGGCGCTATCGAGGCAGGATCCACGTCTTGCCCTTTATTGCGAAAGACAAGACGATATATCGCAACTTGTCCGGCGTTTTGTATTGTTTTTCTTCTACGAGGATCGTTCCATTGAAATGCGGGAAATTCCCAAGAATGTGCTTTATCTCAGGCGCGCCCCCTTCCCTCACTTGAAGAAAGATGATTTTACTCTCGGTGCGTCTCTGACAATAAATGGTGGAATTGTTAAAATTACCGACTACGCGGATGAGGTAACACGTGTGTTGTGTGAAAAGAAGAGTGAGTTCACGGTGGTGCTTTTAGGGGATTCGCTGTTCCCACGGCTGGGCCATTACTTGGCCATACTCACGGAAGAGTGTGATTTTACTATTTCTTCCATGCAAATGGCATGGCTACATGAAGGCACCTCGGAGAAGTATAGTCTGCCTGAAGAGCTCACAGATTCCCGCTTGGTTGCAGCATGTTGTGTGCGCGCCGACGCTATTCAAAAGGGACTAGATTACGTAAAACGCATACCTGGCGCATTTGCAGCGAGTGATGAGAATGAGGCTAAAAAATGGGCACAGTTAGTGGAGCATGTGAGCCGAGATCCAGTTGCCATTCGGGGGGATTCTCGCTGCTCTGTGGTTATTGTGAAACCACATGCTGTACAAAGCCACGCTGCTGGCGTTATCCTTCAGCAGCTGGTTGATACGGGACTTGAGCTGACGGCATTAATGCTTGCCAACCTTTCTTCACGCGTAGTGGATAACTTTCTTGAGCCGTACAAGGGTGTGCTTTCCGATTTTGGGGAGTCGGCTAAGGCCCTGACTGGTTTGGTTTGGATTCTTCAGCTGGTATCGCTAGATGATAGCGTTGACGTGGTACATCTCGTGCGTGAAGTCTGCGGCCCCTTTGATCCGGCATTTGCAAAGGAGCTACGGCCCAAGTCTATCCGCGCAAGATTTGGCGTGGATCGTGCGAACAATGCGGTGCATTGTTGTGATCTACCCGAAGAAGGGCCAATTTACACGAGTTTCTTCTTTGACTCCATAAATGTAGAGGAGTGATGATCTCATTGAACTTCTTTTGAAGGTTTCTTTACTCCCTGCATTTGCCGGATGGAAATGATTCGATTCTATACATGTCATATTTCTTTGATGTGAGGCGGTTGTGTCATTTCCTGAATGACTACATCTATATCTATATATATATATATATATATGTATTCATGTATTTATATCAACAAGATGGGGAATCTTTTTATTTACTTATCCCAGGTATTTTCCGCGGTGCTGGCTTTCTTTGGGTTTGTTTTTTTTTTTTTTTTTTTTCTCCCATCCAAAGGCCCCAATGGTTGTGAAATTGGAGGAGGCAGAGGAAAATTGAAAAAAAAAATTGTGGGGCGGCCGTATTTCTGCTGCGAAGAGATGTATGTTGTCTTGTATACCTTTTCGTCACTTTCCCTATTATTATTATCATTATTCCTTTGTTTTTCACGCCCCAACTCCAGAACCTTTCCGATGAAACTGTGCAAGGTGCTACTGGTGTTGTTTTCTTAATCTTTTTTTTTTTTTTTTGGCGGGTAGTAGCGGATACATATATATATATATATATATATATATATATATGAGTGTTCGAGAGGCCATTGGTGAAAAGAACTTTCTGCTACGCAGAACGCCTGCAAATCCAAAGTATGAGAATGTCAAGGCAGTTGTGGAGTCCGGAATGACAGCAGAGGTGGCACGGCTCATGAAGCGAACAGGGGCCAACACGGAGCGCCACTTGGGCGAATGCTTTCTGCGTATCCGCCCCAAGACGTTAGCGGAATATATTTTACTTCTTAAAAGACAAGAAGAGGCTAAAAGCATGGGCAATAGCGACGGCGGATTTGCGCACCCAATGGACGAGTACCGCTCGCCAAATGCAAGGCCACCTAAAGAGTATCTCATTCTTGATGTCCGCTCAGAGGAAGATTACCGGGCCTGTCATATTGAGGGCTCACTGCACTACCCAAAGCGACGGTTGGTACACGCAACAAACCCATTTCTTCCGGAGATGTTTGAATTTAAGAATAAAGATAACAAGTGTATCGTATTGTACGATCTAGAAGAGGAATTAACAGTGGGACAGAGCGTTGGCAAGATCCTCTTTGAAAAGGGCGTTGATAATTTGGCAGTGCTAACGGGAGGATTACGAGAATTTGTACAGGACTATGCTTCTCTAATAGTGGGAAAGTGCCCTGTTCCGATAGTTCCCCGGGACAATCGCCTTTTAAAACGTGCAGAGGCGCTAGCAGCAGCGCGGAGTGAAACGCAACGGAGCATGTTTACTCATAAACCGAAGAGCTTGTCGAATAGTCTTGCCAAGCCAAGACGGTAGTGAGGAAATCATGTTGTTTTTGGGACACCTCGTGGAGAGTAGGAAGGGATTGTTAGACGGGTGTGAATCTGTTGGATAAAACGCGACGTGGCAATTTATTTTTTCCCTTCCTTTTTTTCTTTTTTCTTTAAATTTTTTTGAGAAAGTGGATGCGAAAATCATCTTTTATTTTTTTTCCCCCCTTGTTTTTTCACATTTTTTTTAAACGTTTACGTGGGTGGATACTAGGCAGTGCAGAAGTGGAATGGGTATACAACGGGCCGCTCACTCATGTATTCTCTATGCTTGTCCATAGTGGCGAATGTGACTGTTTCTTTTTTTTTTCTTTTTTTTTTTTTTTTTTTCATTGGGTGCTCTTGGGGAGTCCTGCGTTCCTGCGTGGAAGGCTTATGCAGAGGAGCGTTAGGGCCTGGCTGAATACCTGTTAAACATGTTGGCTGATGTGAGTGATTCTAACAAGCGCCGATTGCCATCCCCTCATGTGGAGAATGACATTCCACTCAACGGGACCCTTCTGGAGGAGGCGCGGAATGGAGACACCGATGTTAGAAACATTTCAAATGAGAAAACGAATCCTGGCATGTGGGGAAAAGCGAATGGGGCTTTGAAACGACGAAAATCAGCAGCAAAACTGGCGCAAACTCGGGTTACGGTTGGCATGCGTCTGAAGCGGTGGATAATCACGGGCCGGTTAGGTGCTGGATCCTTCGGTGAGACCTTTACGGCTGTAGAAGAAACAAAAGATTGCGGAGATGGCGATGAAGAGGATGAAACGGCCGACAATTTGGCAGTTTCACATAAAATTAGGACCTCCTCGAGTCCGGTGGAGGTGTGCATCAAGGTGGAAAAAGAAAATAAAAATGTTCTTCGCATTGAGGCGGCAGCGTTGAAAAAGATGCAATCCTGTCCTCAGGTAGCACGGTACTTGGGGAGTGGAAATACAGGAGGTATAAATTTTTTAGTGATGGAGCGACTGGGACCCAATCTGGCGGAGCTGCGCCGTAGCACTCCCATTGGCACATTTAGTCATTACACAACTATTAGGTTGGGTATATCATGTCTCCCGGGCAATACGCGGG